TCCCCATGAGATCCTCCTGACGGAGAGAGATAGATAGAAAGAGGGAGACAGAGAGAGAGAGACATCCAGAGAAAGGCGAGGAGAGAAAGAAAAAAGAGAGGCTCTGATACGGAGTCACAGACAGACACGGGCTGAAGGGAATAGGAGGAAGAGAAGGCAGCACATTATCTCTGTGTAAAGTCCTGGGAGGAACAGCCTGTTTGTAGAGTGATACCTATCAGCTCCCTGGCTGTCTCCAGAGATATTATTGCGCTGTGGTGTACTTTACCCAGATAAAACATCCCTGCGTCTCAGATAAAAAGACTCAGACAGATAGTGGCAAGGTGAAAGGCAAAGAGGCAAAAAGGCAGACAGAATGGCAGACAAAAGATGGGTGGAATAGATGATCACTTCCTTTTAAAAATGCATGTTGCAGCATAATGGATTAGATTATGCAGAATATATCTTTTGACAAATCTTTTGTCAAGATAAGTGCAGACAAAGGTAGCATGATGTCCCAGCAACACAGACCTATTGCGGCGGATCACTACCAAACAGATGTCGCACACATTTTCAGGGGGAGATTATCCCTCTTATCTACAAAACATTGTGGTCCTCGTCCAACCCATTCACCTCCAGTTGTCATGTCCAGGGCCCAGTTTTAGCTCTTCAGAAGTCCATGTCAATACATATTTGTTCACTAACAAACAAGTCGTTGTTGATTAAACTACATTCATTTTGCTGTGTACGATTATTTGTATATTTATTCTCAACCAAATTAAATTTTGGACAAGTTTTTAACCAATGTAAAGCAGTCAGAGCGAATCAAATCATCACATCAATAATGCATCAAGTTTACATGTGGAGAGTCTTTTTTGATGTAAAAAAACACTTATGGGCTTGAACTTGGAAGTTGGTTGTCACTTTGAGATTTAGTGATCTCCCAGACTATGCTGTTTAATGTCCCCCAGCCTCCCCCAGCCCTCCTCTGATGATTCACCCTGCTGTGTGTGTCTGTGTGTGTCTGTGTGTGTGTGTGTGTGTGTGTGTGTGTGTGTGTGTGTGTGTGTGTGTGTGTGTATGTGTGTGTGTGTGTGTGTGTGTGTCTGTCTGTCTTCTGTCCATCGTGCTGCCTCCCGAGGCCCTGATTGAATAACTAATGATTAATATCTACACAGCCACTGCCACAGCGACTGATTTACCGCACCCATTGATCCAGACCTTGAGATGTCATGAAAAAAAGACGCAGATTGAACTGCAGGCAAGGTTTTGTGAGACTAAATTATCAAAAGCTGACAACCAAACGTCTGTGTGTTTTGTTAAAAAAATACTGCCCAGGACAGAATGTTGTATGTCTAGTTATACGTAAGCATTACATCATCTCATATATTTAACCAGGTGTGTTATAAGAAATATTGTAAGCCCTGGCTTTTCTAAGTATTCACACCTGGTTGCTGCAAGTATAACTATAATGTACATGTATTGGCTGGTTAGCAGCTTCTTTTGAACTGTTGTGGATTTACTGCTTTCTACAGGGTGTTTGAAAAGCAGTTGCTGACCAAAGGTAAAGTAGTTTTAGATTTACAAACCCAGATATATGAAGTGAGACCTCATTGATAAAAGTGAGCTTTTTAGTAATACTCATTACACAAATGAAAACCAAATGGCTAATAAAATATGGACTTTCTTGACTTGAATTATGTAAAGTGAAAGTTCTGACTGTGAATATATATTTTTTTTTTTTAGTTTCAATAATCGCATATACTTGTAGATCTATTTTGGCCTCCTGAAATTCCTGAAGACAGAATGCAATAATACTTCCAAAACATTCATACCACCCATAATCCATGTTAAAATGAACAAACTTACACTAACAACTATAAACACATGATGCACTGCTAAAGAAAGAAAATAGCTGAAGGAAAGAGGTGAAAGGGGCTGATTTCACCACACCTGATTATTGACGATTTGCTGCACGCCTCATCTCACGCTTGAGCTTTTTCCACAATGAGACGTCAGTCAGTCGGTCAGCCAGTCAGTCCAGAAGGTTATTGAGCACTCGGCTTGATTTGGACAGTTAATTTCATGAGCATTGTGCTCTATTGTCTGTACTGCATATAGATTGCTCTCCCTTCCTGAGTTTCTCATTTCTTTCAAGCCCAATAAAATCTTATTTTGTAAGATGGTAAAATAACAGGCGCAATAATCTGCAAATGCATTTTAAGATGTGATAAATCTCAACACACATTCGGAATTCCCCAGAGAAAGGCTACACTTCATGATTTTGTCAGATCAATTTTCTTTTATGAAATATGTCAGAAGCCAAAACATTTCTACTCTATTGGTTGCACGACTGTTTGGTGTTTTTTTGTGTGCATCATTGGCAACATTGAAAAGTGAGACTGGTGTTGATGGTAAAATTAATGAGAGGCTTTTAAAATGATCCTTCCCGTATCAGTATTTCCTCAAGTTACTGGAGGAAATACTGATACGGGAAGAATCATTTTAAAAGCTTTTCTATTATCCCACACAACTGAGGTAATACTCATGACACTTGAAATAAGATGCCACACACACACACACACACACGCGCACGCACGCACACACACACACACACACACACACACACACACACACACACACACACACACACACACAATGCTGTCACGCCAACCTGAACAGAACTGACACAAGCCATGTTCTCTGGATCATTCGCCCCATGTATGCTGTAGATCTCACAGTGCACTGAGCCAGAAAGTCAAGTGAGCCAGTCAGTTTGTGTGTGTGCGTGTGTGTGTGCATGCGTTTGTCCTTTTGTCTGTGTTCTTATTTATGTCTACATTTTACATGTTTGTCTGTCCATCCAACCTGCAGATGAAAGCAAACCTCTTACACCTCATCTCCCTTTGATGCTTCTACTGTATCTGTTAGTGTGCCTGTGTGTGTGTGCTGCATATGTGTTTTGTGTCAGCATCAGCGCACACAGTGTACATAGCAACAGAAAATGTCGATCCTCATGTATTTTCTGCTTGCTCCAGAAGTTTCCTAATACAGCATCAATGGATTCACAATTAATCTCCAGCTCTCAGTCCCTGCTTTGCTGCACTCTTTCAACTTCACTCACTCCAAATCTCACCCCCGTCACACACTCTTACACACTTACCCATGCCCCTCATATCTATCCTTCAGTCCCTATCCATTAAACTCTTGACTAACAGTAGAATTGTCTATCAGTGGTATTATTTGATCAAGGACAGCTACAAGGCTAATAGTATGTAGGTTTGTGCATCTGCATGTAACTGGATGACTGACTGACTGAGTGTGTGTGTGTGTGTGTGTGTGTGTGTGTGTGTGTGTATGTGTGTGTGTGTGTGTGTGTGTGCGTACGTGCATGCGTGTGTGAGAGAGAGAGAGGTAAGTAGGATTACCAAGTCATCTTTATAGTCTCTGTGCTACTGTGGTGCCATCTTCTGGTAGGGAAGCATAACAGCCCTGACTTAACTCTACAGCAAAAAGGACAATGCACATTTCAATTAATAACAATAACAAAACAAAATTCAAATGCAATAGTTTAAACAATGAACTGAATAGATTTAAAAAAACATATTTAATATAGTGACCGAAATTATCATAATGTTCAAATCATTGCTAAAATGAGGTTTAACATATAACATATTGTATTAGATGACATGAAGTGTATAGTTAATGTACATTATGCAATGTAATGTAATTATACAGAGCTTACAACATAAGACAGTACTGTACAACCTGTAGAATATAGCAGCTTGCAGCATCTTTCAGTGCACACACAAACACACAGTAACATGTTCTCATCCGTACAAAACATAATGCACTGTAATATAGAGTCATCTCGATCATTTACACTGCTTAAAGAGATGTGTTAATTTGTTCCAAGGGCCATTCAGTCATCTCATTGAAGCATTCATTACAGACAATGCAGTTGCAAAGACTGTCCCTTCTTTTCCATGACAAAGTTTGAAGTGACAGACTTTGTGACGCTAATATCCAGAGTGGATTGAAATTGGAGGTCTGCCAAGGTCTGAGTGCAGGGGGATGATAATTCATTCAGCTCAGGCTTAAACAACACACACACACACACACACACACACACACACACACACACACACACACACACACACACACACACACACACACACACACACACACACACACACACACACACACACACACACACACACACACACACACACACACACACACACACACACACACACACACACACACACACACACACACACACACACACACCACACACACACACACACACACACACACACACACACACACACACACACACACACACACACACACACACACACACACACACACACACACACACACACTATATTGTCATTGCTTTAGAGGAAAATATTCCACATTGAAAAAAGGAAAGAACAAATCCTATAGGCTGACAAGCCATACATTCCTTTCATCTACACAGAATGAAAAGAGCACATTCATATATACAGTCAGTGGCTTTGTGATAACATTATAATACTGAAAATGGTCATGTTTTTAGTACAGCTGAAATCATTATAAGAGAAAACTTGGCTGAAAACTGGAACCGCAGATAACACACTGTACATCATTTATCTGCCTACCTCAACATTATTCTTCTTGTCATAGATCTATAAGACCCAAATAACCTTTAGAGTGTCACAAATACACTCATTAAAATACTATGTACAGTGAGGGCCACTTTATCTAAGCCCCCTGGAGATACATGAAGCTTGACAAGAGTGCCCTTAACATTGCCCTACCACTGGGTTGTTTTCTAAGTGGCCCATTGATGTACTCTTCAAAAGGAGCTGCTGAACCACTGCACTTTGGTGTTTTAACATTCAAGTAATGCCAGGACTCAAGAGTATTACCACAGACACACACCACTCTGGTGGCCGTGCTTGCAAAGAAAAAAACCTTCACAAATGTAGGGAACTAAATGTTTGCTCCCAACTCAATCAAATAACCAGCAAGTCAGCATCTGTTTATGATGTATTTAAATCACAGTGTTTCCCCATGCATTTAACGGTGCTCAGATCAGGTTCTCAAGGATCTATGGGCCATGAACAACATAGAAACCAGGTGTCCTGAGAGCACAGCTGTATTTACAGAAGTAGAAGCTCTACATTTGATTTAGTCCCCTGGTTCTGTTTCCTTCTCTACTGAGTCTCAGGGTTAGGGTAATGTTTGAACACCTTGTAGATCCACTGTGTGTAGAAGGGCACATTGATGAAGATGCCAGGCTGGTTTGCACGAGCGCAGCCTCTGCCATGGACGCTCACTCCAACAATAACCCTGATCTCACCGTCCTGACACACAAGAGGGCCGCCGTAATCCCTCTGTAGAAGAAGAAATAGTTAACACATTTCCCTACATTGCTGGTTGAGAAATGGTTATCATCACAGTTTACATTAAGACAGGGGTAAATGGAAGCACCACCAGTGTTAGTGAACACGGACAGCTAGCCTCTAAAGCTATAAACCACAGAACTAAGGCTTTGATCGCTGATGAAATTTAGTGCAACACACTCCAGCTGCTCTATTTACAACGGACTGAATACAAAGCTCAAGGATTCAAAGAACGTTTGAGATGTGGATCAGACTCAGCTCTAAAAGCTTTGTGTTCAACCAAGTCACTAATACACTCATACATTCACACTGAGCACTGTTACTTTACCCAAAAAGTATCAAGGCTGCCTGGTAGTTCTTACCAACAAGGCTTGAAAATATTATACAAACATATACTGTCAGATTCTCTTTTTGATCACAGAAACAATTTGGCATCATGTTTAAATTGTTTAACACCTCACTGGGAAAAATAATGTGACAAATGACAGTTTACCTCACACACTCCCTCATTCCTCCTGCCTCCTGCACAGATCTTGGTGTTGGTGATGTGAAGGTTCCCTCTGTGCATCTCTCTGCACCTCACATTACTGACAATGGGCAGGTCAACAGCTTTCAGCACGTCATCATGGCCAGTGCCTGAAATAGTTAAAAGTTTCACGTTATTGCCTCTGTTGTTTTGCACAACAGACGTGCCAACATTTTATAGTAGACATTGTATATTTTGGCATGATCCAAATACGTATTATATAGTGGTGTATCATATTTAGCATGCTTCTTTTTTTCAAGAGCATTGGGGAAGTCTCAATGGTTTATACAGAAATCATGGCACATTTGAACTTGTATTAAAAATATAAATCATCTCTGATCTGCCTATGAAGCCACCCAGCAAGCAGCCCTAACCCAGAATTGAGAAAAAAAATTGCCTGAGCTATACTGGCAGTAACCAAATATTTAAAGGAATGGTATGCTCATGACACTCATTTTTAAATAATTATCATCCGATAAAACAGACCAGTCTCTGCCAGTCTTTTTTTTTTTTTTTTAATCCGATGACATTATCAGTGATTTTAAACTGATTAATTACCGAAATAACATCAACACTGTGGGCGGCGCCATTTTACCGGACGTGACGTAAACCATGCGTTTGGTTTCGAGGACACGTTGATGTTCATGTTATTTACTGTAGTTACTCTCTTCAAATATGCCTCATTGTATCGCGAAACATTGCCACAATTCTGATAGGAACAATCCACGGAATGCTCGGTTCCATCTGTTGCCAAAAGGTAAGCGTAGGAAGTACGTTCGGAGGCAGTGGCTAGCGAAATGTGGCCGGCCCGAACCGAAAGATCCACAGGCATGTATGCAGCGAACATTTCAAGTTTCCGGACGACTACTCTGACAGTATGATAAAACATAACATGGGATTTATTGAACAACCATTACTTAATGGTTGTTCAATAAAGAATAAGGTATGTTATAGCGCATTTCCATTGCAGCGGGTAGCCCCGTTTAAACGTCCAGGCCAGGCCAGTTTTTGGTGGCCTTTCCATATAGCGTAGTACCGGCTAGTGGGTATTTTCCCCCAGTTTTTCCGGCCCCATAAAATCGTGGTTCTAGGGCCAGGGACAACGAGGCTGAGTATGCTAAACTAGAGAGGGAATCGCTAGCAAGGGTGGTACTACATGCATACATATCTAGTAATCAAAATCATTGTATCTACTAAGTAGTACTAAGTAGGCTCGAACCTGTATGGCTGAATTCCCCCATCCAATCTCTTCATATTGCTCAAAACTTCTTCCTCGGCTGACGAGTCCGAACTCAAATACTCCATGTTTTCGTGTGTTTACAAAGTGAACGCATGGATGACGTCACGACCATCACGTGACTACTGAAAATGGGCAAAATGGCAGCGGCCTGACGGAATATACAGGTTTTTGATAAAAAAAGAGCTATACAATCATTATTTACCGGGGAATATCGCTGATTTCTTCAGGGTATGGTTTACACATAATGTTTCACTAAATACTGAAGTTTTGATTAATTATCTAATGAGTGGAGCATTCCTTTAAGAGAGGACTGTGTTACAATATACTTTTTCACCTCTGCAGAATATACTGAATATTCCAGGACTGCTGCAGGAGAAATGCAATAAAATGCAATGTATTGCAAACCTGAGTAAAACCAACAGCTGTAGCGAAAAGCAGTACCTTTTGTTTCGCCCCATCCATACATTTTACATATTTTTCCTTCTGGGATGGAGCACCCAGCCACGGGTAGCTGAAGTGTATGCACATTGTCTGCAGGAAGGGCAGGCCTGGACGTTTTTAAAATACAGAAAGAACAAGGCATGATCAACATCAAACACTAAAAGATATATCAGTATATTTTTGGGAATTATTTTACGAGGTATACTTACTTGGACAGCCTTATGAGGGCTAAACTGGAGCCCTCAGGACCACATATCACATGAGCTATGCTCACTTCCTGTCTCCTGGACCAGTCTGGAGCACCATCTTGAAGATCTGAGACTCCCAGCCACACCCGATATTCACTGAGGTCTGGAACACTGAAGAAAGAGCTAAAACTCAATAAAATATTCCACTTTTATTGCTCTCTACAAACTCCAGTCTAAGCGGAACAGACACTAGCAAATGAAGACAGTTAGATACTTATGCTTGAATCAGTGGAAACACATAGGAGCAGAAAATAAACTGCACCGACAGTTCAAGGTTTAGGCAAAAAGAAAGAAATGACTTAAACAGACAGTGAGTGCATTGAAGTTACCATGAGGAGAAGCAATGTCTGTCAGTGAGTACCCATTCCTCTCGTATTAATGAACCCCCACACCAGTGCTGCGACCTGAAAAGAGCACATATCACAACTTAAAATCAAATAAAGCTGTGAAACACTGCACACAAACCAATACAATATATTTGTATTCCTGCAGTAGTTTCCCTCCAGTATCAAACTTTAAAGGGGAATAGTGCAATACCAACAGTGTGTGCAGTTATGTAAGCAGTGTAAACAGTATTTAATAGAGATGTGACTTGACGGACTCTTTCCTTTCATTGTCTGGAAAAAAGAAGATTGAAAAAATAAATTGTGGGCTTTCAATTAAAAATCTCCCTTTACAACAGGTAGTTGTCTTCTTCTATTCAAATGTATTCTCGATCTATGAACCTTCTGACTGAATAAACATGTGTGGCATCAATGCTACTACTGTATCTTATACTACTGTAAAAGGTGCATCTGTAAAAGCATATGAACCCTCCACCGCAAAGAAAAGAGAAAAAGAAGAAACATTTGTTTTGAATTCAAAAGTGGTCTAAGCAGCACGGCCTACTGTTCTTCTTCAGTGGTCGAGAACAATGTGAAGAATATTAAACGCAGCGGCGTACCCTCTCTGTATGCTGACCATCCAGCTGCCGTCTGATATGCCCACCGGACCTCCTCCCACGATCCTGGTTGTTTTATGGACAAAACACCCCACAGAGGATAGCTCACCTGGAAAGAAAGACACACACAGACATATTTTGATATACCAAATGTCATATAAAATGCATCTAATTGATATCATAATTATGCATTTGCAGGCAGAGACATACTATAGTTAATGACATCATATTTACACAGTTGCAATACAAAAGGTGCTTCAGCTGCTTAATGATCCGCTATAATCATCATTAGTATATATAAAACATAATCATCCATTCTTGTAAGGTCATCAATTAAGGTAATTATTGAATATGCGCATACGACACATGGGTGTCATTTGAGCTCCATATAAAGAGATCGAGTGTTTATTCTCTGTTCTTGAGTTATTATGTGAAGAAAAGGAAGTCCAACACAAACACACACACACGACTTATGCAGATACATGGAAACAGATGCCAGCATGACAACATAATGTCCTGCATTATGTACTATAATAGCTGGACATAAAAAGGACTAAATTATGTCTTTCCTTGGAGGCTGTCATGTACAGATCAGCAGCTGAGCCACTCGACACAGACAGACACAAAGAAACACTCACCCAGTGGAATGGTGTTCTGCGAAGCATCACCTGCAGGAAGAAGTCGAGACAAACGAGGGATCAGGGAATATTTCCAGATACAAAATAAGGAGAAACCTTAAAAGAGGTGCACATGTCATACTGGCCACTAGGGTTGTCACGACTATTGTTTTTTTTTTATCGGAAAGGCTTTGATTGAATGTGACAATTCTAAAAGGACCATAAGACAGTTAGTATATGTTTGCACATACTGTCATATAGATTATACATTCTAAAATGCAATTATCGTATTTTGTGAAAGTAAACATCAATGTTACACTTATTTGTTATCATTCATTCACACACACACACACACACACACACACACACACACACACACACAGTCATGATGCCGCTTGCTCTTCGTCCATGTGGAAAAAGTTAGGGGAAACCCTCCCATATCTTTCTGATTATGAGATGTGAATTGTCTCTGACACACACTGACCTGCAAGTGTAGACAGATCTACACACTGCAAATAAAGGGTGAGTGTGTGTGTTTGGCACATACAACCAGATAGAGCGAAAACACATCCAAGCTACATGCTTCTTGGACCAAGATGAATTAAAAACGTTCAATTTCACAGTCTCAGATTGTTTACCAGTACCATAGTGTTTCCTTGTGTCATTGTGTGAAGCTTGCATACACTTGTGCACTTACATGGCTTTACATTGCAGTAGTCCCAGGGAATGGCAGAGTTGTTGGTGTAACACCAGGGGCCATGTTTGTCTTTATCAGGGTTCCTGCAGTAGTTTCCCTCCAGACCAGCCGTCAGCATGCCCCTCTCACCACTGGACACACAGATAAAGATACAATAACGTATGTTTCATCAACACTCAGTAAGCCCAAAACATAATTATAAATACAAAAGGATTAGTTTTGCTCTTTTTGAGGATTTAATCCAGCGGTTGATTAAAGTAAAAAGGATTTGCTGGTGATTTATCACCATTAGTAAAAGCTGAACACATTTTGCCAGATATTATCTGGACAGTCAAACTAAACAGCTGTGTGGACTCTGTCCCTCTGGACACGATAGGGAGGTGATTTGCAAGGGATTATTCACTGGGACAGTATGCACCCACTTATACTCACATATCTTATACTTGCTCATGCAGACTTATCCCACTTTTGGGTATTCTCGTCATTGTTTAAAAAAACAATATTTTCCCACTTTGAATTTCTTGAATGCTACATTTAAGAATGGTAAAGGAGAATGGAAACATATTTGAGTCCCAAATCACAGCGATCAAGAGTGCGCTGTGTTCCTCGCAGCTAGCTCAACTGCCAGCTCTCACTGTTACTCCTTAACCCTGACCTTAGACCCCTGGGCAGGAGCCAAGCCATGGAGCTGATCGGCTTTTGAAGTGTTCCTGCAGAGGAGGGCTTTGGGGTCAAGGGTTAGAAGTGAAGTGTATATCCCCCAGCTAAATTATCACTTGGAGTCATTCCCGCTGAGTTAGGTCATCTTCAGGGAAACACTTCTCCAACCTCTCTAGCCATTAGGAGATGCTGCAGAGGCTAGTCACAGCACCCGCAGGAGCCGTTTTCTCCTCCGAGAAAAAGAGGCCTGACTTGATCCGCGAACAACAATAAGCCGTAACTAGAGGTCAATAATAGGGCGCTCCCTTGCTTTAACCACCCGCGTCTCAGGTTCGCACACATGGTTCTCGATAACACAGACCCATGTTGCTGCACGCTGATGATTTCATGCATAAACTTGTTTCACAAAGATTTCATTTTTCAATAATGTCTGCTCTTTAACCCATGGATATAGTAATTGTTCTGCTCGTAAAAACAGTGATTACTCCGATCCCATTTATCTTTAAAAAAAAACCTACACCATATCACTCTCTCTGAAGGGTTACATGTACAGTACTACAGCTGTGGGACATCTTGATATCTTCTTTAGGAAGAGAAGCTCGTCTCAGTTTATTGAAGGTGAAGGTATGTTTATTACATCATAGACGGAGTTTGGAAAAGTTATTAGGTAAGAAAGAAGCAGGGTCCAATGGGCTGACCTGTTGCTGTGGTCTCTCCAGGGAGTACAGGGCAGGTTTGATCTAGTCCTCGACTGTTCTTCCTGGTAATTCTCTCCAAAACCTTCATAGCAGTCTGTATTTGGACACAAAGAAGACATTAAATGAGACAGGCACACTTTGTGTATGTAAAAATACAATAAAAACAAAAAGCACAATAGGCAGTATTCTGCAGTACTTCTATAAACCTATAAACTATGTTGTTTGTGCAGTATTTAGCCGCTTTCACACCAAGTACTTTGCCGTACTTAGTTCCCAGCACTTAGTACCCCCATGGAACTAAGAGGGAAGATTACGCAAATGAAGCCGCTGACGTCACTTCTTCTTCTTCTGCTTTGGATTTACTGGCAGGCCGCAAACAACTTCACGGCGTATAGAGTGGCGAAGTCACGCCCATCTACTTCCGCCCCATGGGACCTTATTTCTGAAAAATTATGTATTGAAGTCAAGGGGGAGAGAAAGATTATCTTTCGATCCCGTTTGAATTGTGCCACGAATTACACATATGATGTTTGTCAATCTTAAAAAATAATGTCCATGTCGAAAAAGTCACAGTTTGTCTTAAAACTGTTGAAATATAAGACTATGAAAAATACGCAACTAGAAAGACTACAAATCCCAGAGCCGCGTAAGTGAATTTAGCTAGCTGACATTAACGTTACACATTACACTCGTGTTACTCACCAAAACCTTGTAAAGCCGGTCCCGCATGCTGGAACCGACTAACTCCCCTTTTGTGTACAGTTCTCAACATGGCCAAACTTGTATTGATTTTCACCTATTTTAATACTTTTCACTTCATTCTGAAAGAAAGTGGTGAAATGTGCTAACGTGACGGCCATCTTGGTGTTGGTGACGTATGCAAGACCAGAGTTGTAGTTCATTGAGCGCTTCACACAAACACATGTGTTACTTCACAGTTTTACAGCACATTTTTATTTTTTTGACTTGCAAAATTATCTTTTAAATTGACAAATATCATATGTGTAATTCGTTGCACAATTCAAACGGGATCAAAAGATAATCTTTCTCTCTCCATTGACTTCAATACATGATTTTTCCAAAATAAGGTCCCATGGAGGTCCACCGGAGAGGGAGGCACTTCGCCACTCTATACTGCCACCCAAAGTCCCCGGCCGGAAGTCCTCGGAGTTGGGGATTGGCTTCAGTAGAAGCTGCTGGGACTCCCAGCAGCTTCTTCTGAAGCCTTCCGAGTAAATCGCCAGAACACCGACACCTCCTCATCACTCGACCGCTCCAATGTTTTTTTTTGTGTTTCCATAACTTATTCTCTCTCCGTTGGTGCGCGGGGCTTATACTAATGCTAATAATGCTAATGCGAGCAAATACAATGGCGGCTTCAAAAAACGTTTCCGAGTTTTACGGGGCATGGTTTGCAATTCGCCCAGCCAATCAGAAATATGAACTTTTTTCTCCCCAGGAAAGTACCTGCTCTCTAGCAGGGACTAAAAAGGGGGTACAAGTTCTCATGAACTAAGTTCTCTTTTTGGTGTGAACGCAAAATCCCAGGAACTATCGGAACTAAACGGGAAAAGTATGGGGAAAAGTACTCCGGTGTGAAAGCGCCTTTTGCCATACAGCATTGTTGAACAACACACTTTTAGGAAAAAAACTAGGCAATTAAATGCAGAAAAATAAAAACATCCCTCAGATTCTAAGCTATTATTGGATCTACATTATATTGAGCTGGGAATACAAAGAAGTTGCCCACAATTATGCCCTAAGACCCAGGTCATAAATAAGGGTTTGAAGCTCTTTCTAACTGTTAAACTCATTCCTATATGAGAACATATTCAACCCTCAAGGGTGGACCACAATCCAACCTCAGAAGGGGTTTATAGTCCCAATGCAAGGCGACTTATTTTCAAAGACATGTTCCTAAGATCTCTTGGGAAATGGAAATGTGTGTACTCAGCCATAGATCTAAATCTTTGACTTGAATATATCTTGCTACCCCAGAAAAACTCCCATCCAGCACTAATCCTTCCACTCCATCTTTCACTGTCCGGGGAGACCTGACGATCGTGAGCTGCTGTCAGAGTTTGTTATGTGAGGTGAGGTGGTCAGCCCTTCCCACAGTTCTTTAGGGCTAAAGTGCTCCGGGGGGACGGAGAATACGTGGTTACAAACCAATATGTGTGGTAGCTGGGTCTCCTGTGCACTCATCCACCAAATATGAAGATATAGACATTTTCTCTGGTTGGGATGTAAAATAAGCTATCTCCTTGCTGTTTTGGGCATCAAATAAAGCTGTAGAGTCTCTCACCGCTGCCAGGCTTGTTTCGGGTGCCGCACTGAGGGATGTTGGTGCAGAACATGGTGCGGACTCTTGGGTCCGTAGTGAAGCACCATGGGAATTCTCGGCCATCTGGATTCCGGCAGTAGTTTTCTCTCAAGTCCCTGGAAAACACAGAGAAAGTCATGCTGTAATCTGCTCGGATATCAGTGAATGCAGGTGGGTGAGTGAGTGGATGGTGTCTGACTCACTTGCAGGGGTAGGCTTGAGGTATGAATGTGTGGTTATGGGGATACTGAGAGTCCCAGCGTTGGCAGATGAGTCCAGTTGGAAACACGTCTACCGTCCCCCTGTAACCCTCTCCTCTGCCCTGGTAACACTCGGTTGTTTCCACCACGTCACTTGTAGGAGTTGTTTCTGGGAGCAAACAAATAAATACAATGAGGGGTGGGTGATTTTGGTCAAGGTAATACATATTTTCTAACACATAGCTTGTGTGGATACCCAGTTGAAGGAAAGGTCTTAAAAAACAACCAAAGCTTGTAGTAGTTGTATAGGGTAATAAAAAAAACAATTATAGTAGTTAAGACTTTAAACCTTGTTATTTATTGGTGAAACATGAAAGGGGTTTCAACATCATCCAAAAAATAAACATGTGCATGCCATGACACTCTTTTGCAAAACACATTCAAAAACAGTCATTAAATTCCATGTAAGCACACTTCAAGTTTCTCACCATTTATCTGGTTATTTTCATGTTGTTGTAGTAGTTATCTAAACAGCCTACATTTCTTTTCCACCTGCTTTCCACAGAACATCAAATGTTTCCAGTTTAGAAAACACACTATAAAATGAGGCTAAAATGACCAAACATTGCAAGAACAAGGCATGAAATCTTATCTGCCCTACTTTTTTTAAGGGCTGCTCATTACGCACGAGTTGCAAGGGTTCATTAGCCCGAACGTTGTGTGTGGTTGTAAACAAAAATCTGTAAAGTGGCTCATATTCAAGACTATAAAAAAAGGCATTTTGTGTCCATACAATGTGTCTAAAAATAGATATGCACTAGTTGTGACAGTAAACAAAATAGCCGGCCTTGACACAAGAACACTTTGTCTCTCTCCTCTCTGCTCTCGCTGCCTTGTTTTGATTAAGACCAATGGGTCGTAAACTTGGTCTGTTCCCAACAAACCCCCATATCAGAGAAAGAGAGAGACAGAGAGAGGTGGAGGGATCGAGGAGAGGGACATACTATTTAGAGAGGGAAAAGAAGGGGGGAATAGTGAATCACTGGGTCCACATGGAGGAGTGCCATCTAGTAAACATTGTGCCAGGACTGCTGATGATTCTTGCAGAAAAACAGACCAGTCCCAGACCCAAGAGAAAGAAGCTGAGCCCAACAATAACACCAATGCTTTGCTCTCTTTGTTTTGTGTTCTTGAGGTTTTCTCAGCCACTCGTCACTGATTATGGGTCACCAAAGAGCATGTGATATCTGCTGATGTGCTACATTGCATTGACACCCAGAATAAGAAGCCAGATATGACACATACACCTTGCTCTTACGCATCAATCACACTGCTTTCCCTAAGTGTATAAGGTATAATGAAAGCGATCTGCTTGTAGTGTGTGTGTGACCCTGGTGTTGTGTCTGTGTGTGTAACAGGAGGTTAATGTGAAGCAGTAACTGAGCAGAGCAGTTTGACCAACGCACATAAGAGCTGGCATAGAACAATAAACAGCAGTCCAGTGGTGCAGGGGAAAAATAAACACTTTGGCTATTAGAGAAGACATAACAGAGAGCCAAACTAAAGAGGGGAACTGTGTGTGTGTGTGTGTGTGTGTGTGTGTGTGTGTGTGTGTGTGTGTGTGTGTGTGTGTGTGTGTGGTGTGTGTGTGTGTGTGTGTGTGTGTGTGTGTGTGTGTGTGTGTGTGTGTGGGTGTGTGTGTGTGTGTGTGTGTGTGTGTGTGTGTGTGTGTGTGTGTGTGTGTGTGTGTGTGTGTGTGTGTTTTCCTTAGTATCAGCAAGTGAGTGGGAGAGGAGTGGTCAAATGAAAGGTACAGGAAGTTGTAAATACTGGTGCCGTCAGTCACACTTCGTGGGCCTGTAAAAAACACAAACACACCCACGCACAGACATACATAGACTTCTACTTAACATGCATGACATCTTAACCACGCACAAACAAACACAAATGCATGCCTACCACAAACTTTGATGTTGCAGTACTCCCAGGGTGTGTTTGGATCTGTGGTAAAGCACCAGGGTCTGTGGCGTCCGTCTGGGTTCCTACAGTAGTTATCATCCAGGCCCTTGTCAGGGTATCTAATGCAAAACATGCAGAAAAAAATGATTATGTATAGACAATAGCGATATAAGAGTGAAACCCATAGAACAAAACAACCATCAAACTGTTACTTGGCCCACAAATCTCTGACTTGAAGTTCAGTATGTGTCACGTTTCTCAAAGCCCAGCGGGGCCTGAAAGGGAAATCATATTTCCTATTTCCTTCTCAATTCTTGGGAGAATAGAATAGAAGTGGTGAGACAATTCACAAAAGTGTTGCACGCAACGGAAGCATTAATAGCTGGAACGGTGAGAGGACTCCATCTGTAAATCTGTTCTGAGCTCAGGGGATAGTTGAAGATAATAGGTTGCACCAGTACAGGTGTTCTACAGTAATTCATCCCACAGTCCCACATCCCTTCAGGCCTCCAGCCTCCAGGCATGCTGTATCAGACTATGAGACCCACTCATTATGTGAGTGCTATGAGCAGTCTGGGACCGGGTTTACACAAACACTGGGATGATTAAGGATGTGTTAACGAGTCCACACTTATCCAGACCACCTGCCATGTGACTAGCTGGAACACTCTCCCGACATAGAAAGCAGACACGCCTAGACAACCAAGGACAGTAAGGAATACTAATACAGCCGGAAACCTGGTGATCCCTAAGATATGTATAATACCGTATAATTATTATTACTGCTAGACACAAGTCTGTTTTCAAATCTTTTAAAAGTTTCAACTAATTTGGGCAAATAAAGTGGGAGTCAAGAGTTTTTCCAGATCATTGCTGCTAAAAACACACAATTACACACCGGATTCTGCTGGCATTCATTCAGGGAAAGGCACACTGGCTGACTGTAAATCACTATTATTCTTAAATGATTGCGTGAAATTATTACTACATAAAGTATTCTCATGCTTTGTGCATTTAAATTATGTGTATCCATGCGGGTGGGCTTAAGCTTGATGGGCATGTACGATTTAGTGTAATGCTGCGTGTGTGTGTGTGTGTGTGTGTGTGTGTGTGTGTGTGTGTGTGTGTGTGTGTGTGTGTGTGTGTGTGTGGTGTGTGTGTGTGTGTGTGTGTGTGTGTGTGTGTTACCTCTTGGGGTGGTGCAGGTGTTTGTGCGGATCATCCAGGTCCCAGCGCTGGCATTCCTTTCCACTCTCTGTGTGGTCCATGGGTCCTCTGTAATCTTCCCCATTACAGTGAATACATTCAACTACACACACACATGCGGACACATAGACAAACACATCCACAAAGACATAGAGCAACAGCTTAGAGAAATACAGAATCAAACTACTAAAAATAAATAAATCATGATACTGTTGGTTGTAACGCAGTGGGACAAAGCAATAAACTCAGAAAAGGGAATACAGTTAAATATTTCATAAATCTACCTTAAGTTCACACATGTACACTTGTGTTTGGATGCACATAATAGTGTCACACTAATGATGCCCATTATCTCTTTGATGTCTAGAAGGCACAGTGTTTTGCATGGTGACTAGGACTCACCATCTAGTGTAAACAACAGAGTGCATGCAGATTAGAAACAGATGTTTATGAGTCCACTGCTATCATGACCGAGCACACTGACTTCAACTGACTGCATGCGTATGTTTGTTTGTGTACGCCATGTTTTGTGTGTATGTTTCCTATTATGACCAGCTAATTTCTGGAGAAACATTTCATGTCATTTTCTTCAGAATTAACAAAGGCTATATTTCAAGATAACAAGTAATTATCTTGGTCTGTTCAACTTCTGATAAAGCAGCAGGACACCATATGTGAGCAGGAAGAATTCCCACACTCTTATCGAGCCTCGGTCTGGTTCCTTATTAAGGTGATCCAGTGGCATACATGCAGAGGAAACCCTTCTGACAGAACAAATCCCAAGGAATGAGATAAGGTCATTATCAGGCCTTTCTTCAGCGTGATATCAGTGCCTGACAGTAATATTGTGTGATTTAACATGGAGGCTGCGGTGGAAAGCACTTTTCCTTCATTACAAGTTTTACCTCTAAAGACATATGACTCAAAAAAGTAGTTACCTTGTAAGTGTGCCACAGGGATGGATGAAATAGCTAACAATGTATCTATAGGAGACGACAGGGGGATTAATATCCTCCAGCATCAGCCTCTTAAGGTTCAAACTATTTACCAATCCTGGACCTGATGGAATGAGAGTGGACAGCTTAAACTGAACCACAGACCTGGAAACGGCTACAGCTGGTCTCAGCAAATACAGAAAACCTGTGCCCCACCACACATGTTCACACACAGATGTAGAGCAGAGCACTGTAAGAGCCAGCTTTGCTTAGTTTAAGGAACTACATGATTGCTTAATTTGCAGCAACTCATTTCAGACAATCAAGCCTCAATTGGTAGGGCAATTTGTAACAAGGAATGGGCATTATTTTAATAAGTGTCAGCTCAGATATATATAGACATATTTTGTGTACGTGAGTGTGTGTGTCTTTGTGTGTGTGGCCTACCCTGTGAACACTGTGGTATGCCACACTCCTGGTGTCTGAGGTGTGGGCTGGGGTCAGTGGTAAAGCACCATGGTCCAACGGTGGAGTTGTCTGGGTTGCGACAGAGGTTTTCCCTGAGGTCCTTCTTCCTGAATTTCTTAGACATGAATCTGTGAAGAGCAGAGCCGTAGTTACACAATCAGACACATGTACTTAGAGAAATATTCAGCTGGCATGAAGAGCAAAGAAACTCAAGGTCACAGTTTCGGTGACATACAGTCTTTACAGTACATAGCTTTGACAGAATCCTCTCCTCATTTATGAGACAGATGCAGTTTATCTCTGATGGCTGAAACCTGGCTGTAAACATGACCAGTGAACATTACCAACTGTAAAAATAATTGACTGCTATGCATAAAGGTCAAACTGTTGATGACAAGATGTTAATAATGACAGAAAACACATTATAATGTAGAAGCAATATTATTTTTGAATGAGGCTGGTTCTGAATGTAATGTAAACACACTGACAAATGACTCATATCTTCTACATCAGGCTAGCATATGGCTGTGGTCACCAGTTGAGAAGATGGACATAGTGCAGTCTTTGAGTCAAGCTGTATTTCTTCCCATGACGATAAAAAGATAACATTCTGAAGTTGTCTGAAGTGGAATTAGGAATGACAGGGAAAGAAATGAGAAGGAGTTTGCTGGACAATCAAAGAAGAGTAGAAGGCTATCACAGATACAAATGCAATTTGTTCTGTGTGTGTGTGTGTGTGTGTGTGTGTGTGTGTGTGTGTATGTGTGTCAGAGTTTCCCATGCCTGTAAGCTGACTGATAAAACATACAAAGCAGCTGGGTTCAATTACCCGATCTACAGAGACATTAATAGCAGACTGATAAAGCAGGTTCACTTCAGGTACAAACGTACACTGCCCTCTTTGATTCGACATCTCACTACAAAGCCTTTCAAAGTCATTTAATACCTCCCAGAAGCGACAAGGGGAGAAGGAAGGAGGTAGCATGTGGTTCAAATATAATAAAGGTCTAAGATGAGTTGTATGTTTCATTTTTTAGGTTCTCTGATGGATATTAATATCTGACAATTGATAAACGTAGTTATTCTTTTACTGGTCGTTCGGGAGGCACACTGCATCAAAAAGGATGCCCGAGCATTTAAAAATGAGCTTTATCTTGAAATTTGGCTGCGGGATGTACACAAAGCTTAACTAAAGGCTGCATATTAGATAGGATCCTAATCCCAGTAAAATACAACCAACCAACCAACCAACCACACACACACACACACACATACACACACACACACACACACACACACACACACACACACACACCTAGATAAACAGTAGGGCTGCAGCAGGAAATGATCTGTGACTCTGTAAAGCGTTACAATGAGGTCAGCTCTGATGAATGACTGCTCCCAGGAGCCTAATCAACCCCTAATATATCATACTCATATACACACACACAGACACATACAGTCTAGCCCCTGGCTACGCTAATTGCATCACTGACCAATACTAACAGTAAGAAGCAGCTTTAGCACTACTTGTTTGACATTGTGGTAAAAAGTGTGTCAGATTCTTACTTGTGTTCATGAGGAATAGGAGAGGCCCAGGCTTGGCACAGGATCCCGCTCACTGTCACCGACCTCCGTCCCCTGTAGCTCTGACCTGTACCCACAATGCACTCCCTCACATAGTCTGAACGAGAGTCAGAAAGAGAGAGGAGGCGAGATGGAGACAGAAAGACAAGATGACAGAAAGACAGTGAGTTAGTGAGATGAGCCAACAATCTGATCCCAGTGTTGTGTACGCAGAGCCAGTATGGATGATGAGGAAAACAGACAGAAGATGTTCAGCTATAATTCTCAGCTTAACAAGGACACAGCAATGCCAAAAGCCAAATCTGTTTTCCTAATCTTCTACAAAACACTTGGATCCATTCAAATAGTCTACACAGCTTGCATGTTCACTGTTGTGGTCCGTCAGAGAGAAGTGGGATGGGGGTTTCCAGCGTTTACACAAACTTAATGACAGAAAATTAACCATAATATGCTGCGACACAATAAACACAACAATGGTCCTGACTCCTTGCCCTTCCTTCACATGCTCTCTTAAGGAATTGCAATTTAAGAAATCACTCAAATTCACACTGTTTAAAATGTTTCATTAACACAACATGGATACATTGAAGCAATGCTGCTAATTTCAAGTGGCAGAAATAGTTACTTTCAGATGGAATTGTAACAGTGGGGGCAGCACTTTAGTATTAGCTGATTGAGAATAAAGATGTAACAATATAGTTCACCTTTCTTTTGATACAGTTGGTAGTTGAAGTCCTGTTGGCTCTGAACTCCTGGTGAGTTCCTGTCGAACGGCAGCCACTGGCATTTCCTGTTTTTATGATCATAGAGGAACGCTCTGGAGAATAAGGAAAGGAAAGGAGGGACAGAGAACAGAGAAAGAGTGAAGTACATACATTCAGGGCAGTTAACACAGCTGTTACAGAGCAGTTAGATTGACTGCTTAACAAGAAGGACAACAAATGGATTTTACATGTGGAACATGTAATTGAGGAACATTAGTACCACTTAACTCTCTTTGCACTGAAAACCATTAATTCACAGTGTTGGAGACTCCATTAAATATGTTCTGAGAGTGTAGACATACCTGCAGCTGAAAGGTAATCTTTTGTTACGGCTACAGGCTTTGGCACACTTTGCCATGCTTATTTTCTTGCTTTTGGTCAGGTGGGAGGAATCCGGAGACTCGACAACCAGTCGCAAACCATCTGTCTTCTGGTAGTCCTGGAGAGCGTTTCTTCTGCCCTCTTAACACAGTTACATAACATGTCAGCAGCATGTACAACTAGTCTGCCATCATAAACCCTATGGCCTGATGACAATAACATACTGAACTCATCATTACAACAAGAAAGTCTACATACTTTATTGATGTTTTACTTTTATTAGGACTATTAGATAATATGAGAAAAATAAACACTGAATTGAGTTTTACATTGAAAGTGCTAATAATAATAATAATAATTGATGAATAGACATGCATTATAGAAAACACTTCTCTTTGGTCTGGGAGACATCATGGATAATCTGCTAATTATTGCATTTAGACTGAGAACACTGCAAGAACATGCAATGTGTCAATTAGACTGATATAACTGTTACAGTATAAATCAACAGACTCATACACACACATAAACACTCAATTTTGTATATCTGTATGTTGCCCGAGTTATTGGCAGATCCCTGCAACTCTACAAATCAGAGAACTAGCAAGACATTTACATGTAGTCAGAAAACGAATTTATCCTCCTCCTAGGCTACCTTACAGTTCTGCCTACATGCACTTCACTTGATCTAATACCTTTGAATAACACCAAAAATAACATAACATAAACAAAGTGGGGTTTCTGTTGGAAAAGTGCCCATCGGTTCTTGGAATCACGTGTCATAAACAACCCCAGAGCTGCTGTTTCAGACTGAGTATTGGGTGTTTGTGATCTGAGGGTAGCAGAGTTCACTGTCTCAGCAGTTTCTCTGCCTGAGTGCCTATGAGCACTGGGCTGCAAAATCGCACTACAGCATGACTTAAAGACGGGTTGCATTACGTTCACTCAGCAAGAGTTGAGATTTAAAAAGCCCTGCTACTCAAGAATGATGAAGACATCGCTTTCATATTTCTTCCAGGAATGGCCAATTAAATAAATGTTCTCAAGACTAAGAGTCACTTAAACTAACCAAGTGACTGATAGCGATGGTATGCAGTACACAGCCAAACATGATAAAGTAATTGTAAAGCCTCCCACAAGTTTGACAGTCCTTTCGCACGAAACGCAAAGCAACGTGTTCTGGCACCAGCTCCAGCCAGTGGCAGACGTTACGGAGCAGAACGGTTTAGTCTAAACTTACCAGAACAAGAAATGACGAAGAGTCCGAACATGAGCTTGTAAATCCACATCGTCGCGTCACAGAAGAACCGTTTCAGAAAATAAAAATGGAATATGCTGCTTGCTGTGCTGTCGGACTGCAACTAGGAGATGTTGCTTCTACCACTGCACAGATGATGCGTCTCCTCTCTAAGTACTTCCTCGCCTCCTTCCCTCCCTTCCTCCCCCCTCTCCGCGCGTGTGTATGGCTTTATATTTTGCTCCCTCTCTTGCCTTTTGTTTCTCGCTTTCTTTTTCAATAAAGTGTTCTTTAGTGGCCTGATTGTGACATAAATAAACTTCAGTGGTATGTCAATGTTGATACCCTTATCAGTAAATCACATGTATGTCACTGTGTGTAGGTATCAGATGCTATTGTGAGTTAACATGTGCCATCAATCGATCCTCCTATACTAATATAGCATTCAATTATACTTTGGATCTTTCTTTGTTCCCCCCCTTCCTGTCTTTAAAAACATTCAAAACCACTTGGAAATCCTAAAAAACAGCATTAGTTTTTACCATGTATTATTTATTATTGTATATAAAAGATAATAAGGCCTTCTCAGAATACACATAAAGATACATTTATTGGGGTCTTCTGAATTCTTCAATGAATTAATGAGATTTAAGAATCCAATCAAACACGAATATTTACAATTTATCTTGACAGAGGCACACTATAAATTCATGAGCAAAAATAGGAGGAAAATAGTAATAATTGTGTATTTATTCAACATATTATGTGTCCATCCATCCCTCACTGTCACACAGCGGCATACCACTCAATCATCCTTTTATCCCCAAGATCACCAGGCTGCACTGTGTGCACAATGAAACAGATATTGGCAGGCACTTGTCAGCGCCGGGAAACAAGGGATGTAAAAGAGGAGGGGGGGAGTGTGTTTGGGGTTGTTTATGCTTTACTTTCCTTCTTCCCCCTTGTCAGATAAGAAGTGAAGTTAGTGGTGGGGGGTGGCTGAGGACAAGACATCCCAATCCATCTCCTGAGTGTCATCTCTATTTCCAGCGATGACAGCATGAGATAGGAGATGTGACACTTAGCTGGCCCTAACATTTCTCTAAACATCTCTGATGCGGCAGGCACAGAGCAAAACTACTCTCCTCCAGTGACAGTCAGGTGGGGTGCGCAGTAAATAGAAATCACATTATTTATCCTGACTCAGATTAAAAATGTACTGCATTGTGGGGATTCCCGGTATTTCATTAAACAGCGGAATAGATGAATACATGTAAGAGGAGACAGACTGCATCTATATCTCCTCTCTGGTTCAATGAGGAATGCTCTTGCGGCTTCCTGAGAGGACCACAGTCACTCGCAATAATAAACAATCAGCCATGAGTCAGATACTTTCACTGGAGCGGAGCACAAGTCTCTTTTTCTTTCTCTCTCTCTCTACCTTCCTTTACGTGTGCAAAACAACCACACACGCTCTCTCTCGCAGGAAAACAAGAATTTGGACTTTCTTCTGTCACTGTGACAATCACGCATGCTCGTACATAACCAGCAGCAGATGAGAGCTCAAACCTTCACCAGTTTGAACCCTCATCACCACAATCTTATTACTGACTCTCCAAACAAGAATCCAGTGGGTGTTTCAACTGCGTCTGAGAGCCACGCTTTCTGCTTGAAGATGGAAATTAGAGAGAGCCGGTAGCCCACTGCTCACTCATGAGAACGCCGTCACCATACAAGACTCCTCACATCTGTGGCTTGTTATTGCCAGAAACTTCATATCTGTAATGGCGGGAGGAAGTTCAGTGGGAGATGGAGATGATATGGAGCACCAAGAAGCTGATACTGAGATAGCGATGAAGAGCAATGGAAGTAAAATGGATGGACTGTAGCAGAGAGGCCCAATACAAAGCAGTGTGCTGAAGGCCGGGCTGTCTGAGTGCATATTTGTGGAGTGTGCGGAGTATAAATAGACATCCTGCAGAAGTTTGTGTGTGCATTGTGTGAGTCATGTGTTGTATACTGTTATATCTCCATGCATGTGCGTGTAGGTACATGTCCATGTGAGTTTTCATCTGCAGCAAATGACTTGGACCTCATTGTGACCTTTTATTGTTCCAGCCTCTTTTTCAGATTTTAGCTATATGTCCTTGTGTAAAGGGTAGGTTGGAAATTAAAAGAATGAATGAGAGGGATAGGGGACAGACATGGGGAAAGTTTGAGGGAGACAGCAACAGATAAGGAAGTAGAAAGGGACTCCGATGGATGAAGTGTAGGAGTGCAGAAGAGAGGTGGCCCAGGTATTTTACTATAATTAGACAAATGTTGGGGTTGTGTGTGTGTTAGAGGGGGCAGTGGTTTGTGTGTGTGTGTGTGTGTGTGTGTGTGTGTGTGTGTGTGTGTGTGTGTGTGTGTGTGTGTGTGTGTGTGTGTGTGCGCCTTTGTGTGTGCCTTTGTGTGTGTTGGGGGTAGTGATGACAGTCATGGGCCTAGAAGCTGTAAACACAGATACACTGTCAAGAGATCCTCCTTTAAACAAACACACACTTCCTGTTTTCAGTGCAAGCGATTGTAGTCACTGCTCGTAATTGAGATCTGCTGACAGTTACGGGTAACACAAATAAACCACGCACAAGCACAATCTGTCCACACAAACAGTTCAAAAATATGGCTTCTCGGATTAAACATGTGCAAAACCAGACTTTTATTTTCATTGAGCCCTGTGGAGTGCATTCACGTCACATTTCTATTTGATTTATAAAATTGCAACATTGAAAAATGGCTGTGGGCACCAGACGGTAATGAGAAACTTGAGTTTTAAAACATCTAATATGCATTATAATGCACATTAGCAGAATGAGTCACCAACACATTTCTATAAATAGTATTAAAGAGGAACAAAGGACCATAGCACATATCAGGAAAGCACTCAATATGCTAAAGAGTTTCCTTCACTCAGAGAACAGAGAACCACTGCTTTTGTCATTGATTTTGATTTTGGGGCGGTGGTGGCGAAGTCGATAGGGACTTGGCTTGGCAACTGGAAGGTCACCAGTTCAAGTCCCGGCAAGACCAAGTGCTACCGAGGTGTTCCTGAGCAAGGCACCGTTCCCCACACTGCTCCCTGGGCGCCGTTCAAAATGGCAGCACACTGCTCCTAACACTAGGATGGGTCAAATGCAGAGAAACAATTTCCCCACGGGGATTAATAAAAGTCCATCTTATGTACTGAAAGTCTCCATCAAACATAAAAAGCTATACTCATGACTCAAGAACATGTTGAATTAAATTTCAACTAAGACATATGTACAATGAAGTGTCTTGGAAATTATATCTATTTATATAATTATATATGTGTATGTATTTTGCTAAATCATTTACATTTCACAGGAGAACCTTTTCTGAGTCAAATTTAGAATATTTTGAGTTTAGTCAGTTTCTTATTTGACAGCATTTTAAACTCATAAAGGTTAATAAGAAAAGTATTACAATGAGATATTAAGTCTAAAGACACACTAAACATTTAAACTCCACAGATTGAGTTCACATTGCATAGTCCTCATTCAGCCTTTTGTTTGTACCCCCTCCTGTGTTTATGGGAGTTGATGTGAACGTTTGAGACACAACCTTGGAACAATTCACCATCAAAATGGCCTCGTGAGTTTGTATATCCACTCAAGCCATAACTGTTTAAATGACACATCCTTTAGCATGGAACACATTACATGTTTCGCACAAACACATCAACATCCTACACGCCCTCTATTGTGACGGCCCTTTGACAGTCCATGTCAGTCACTCAAAAGAGTACAACACTGAATGCGGAGATATCACTCAAATAGGTCATGTTACCTATACATAAGCTATTTTTTAGAGGAAGTGCTATTTTGTGCTATTGTCTTGCTTTCACATACAACATATGTATTTGTGTAACCACGGTCCTGGACACAGTGGTACCTTTACTCCCCTTAGACCTGTTCATAAATACTTGGAATTAATTATAATTACTTAAAATAAAATGTGTCATTCACCACACACAATGAATGTATCTTCATAAAATCCATGTAACCATCAAAAGTTATTTAAAAAGCGTTTTAAATGTAACTTGCAGATCTAAATACTATCCAAAAATCCAACATCTATCACAACAAAGTAATAACCACCACTTGGACACGAGATGATACAATTAAATATTACAAGAGGATAAGGAGAAAAGGGAGAGCAGGTCTTAAAATAGTGATTAAACCTGTGTTTGCTCATTTCTTACACATCTGCTAACCTTCAGCTTGTCTTGTCTGCTGCTTACTGCTAATTTACCCCGCATGACTCATGCAGAAGGGGAGACACTCAGGGGAGGGAGGGTGGTCGGTAAGATTAAAGAACAGAGAGGGAAAAAAGCTGCTCTGGGGCAGCAGGTACATTTCATCCCACATGTGTCTGTGTCAGACCTCATACGAGTAATTAACATGTTGATGATGAACATAGCATGGGCGAGCGGCAGCGTGCAGTCTGGGTCTTCAGGGCCCACCTGAGTGATTTGCCAGACACGCACTCAGGTAACTTGAAGCACGAAACACACAAACATGTTCTGTGGGGTCTTTAGGAGCCAGCTGCAATAGTTTTACCAGTTTACTCACTCTTAATGGAAGGCCAGCACAACAAAGACGCGAGAACACTCATCAAAGTGTCTACAACCACAAACTCCCCCCCTTCTCTCTTGATCTAACATGTTTATCTTTTTCTTGTAAGCATATTTCTGTATGACTTGAAGACAAAACAAACAAACAAGAACTTGTTTTCGCCCCCATTTTTGGTCTCTTGGTGATTACATCATAATCTAGTTTATAATTATATTTTTCTTTCTTCTTTATGAGACATACTAAATGTCCTCAATAATACATAAGTCAACCAGAACCAGCTGTCAAGCAATATCTATTATTTTAATATTATATTTATTATCATCATTATTATTATAATTATATTTAAGTGAATCAATATTTTAAATACTTTAATAATCAGTGATGATGCTTTAAGATAAATTGTTCAGGCAACACATTGCCTCAATTCCCTTTGGCTATAGGAATATCTTACTCCCTCTTTATCTTATCCTGCAATTAAACATGATGATTATTGTTAGTGAAATATCTTTACACCTACTG